ACGAGGTTGTCGTGATTTGTGCTCTTGAAATACGTAGAAGAAAAATGAAACGGAAAAGACGCTACTACCCAGTAGCGTCTTTTGCGTTTCATTTTTCTTATCATACACACGTGCATCCTATATACACGGAAAGATTATTTAAAGGAAAATTCTACACTATATATTCTGAATTACGTCAGTATCCACCTAAGTTTTTTAATTATCTTCGTATGTCTATAAACTCTTTCGATGAGTTGCTGTCTTTGGTAGGTCCTGTGATTACATTTCAAGATACAACATTTCGCAAAGCTATTCCAGCAGAAGAAAGGTTAACGGTAACTTTGAGGTAAGTAACAAAAACTACATCAATTACTTATTTAAACAAAAAATCTTTATTAATCTTACGCAACCCACTTGGAGAGCGTCCGGATAAAGACCAGTTTCAACACTCCGATTAATTAGGTCAGCGATAGTGTTAGAAATACTGTCATCATCATCATTTTGATATCGGAAACCTTGATGGTATCAGGACCTGGAGCCTTTCTTGAATTAAGTTGTTTAATGATCTTATCCACCATCTTTACCATCTTTACGCGGATGATTTGCAGCTCTATTATCAAGCCTCGATAGACAACATAGACGAAGCCATCTTGATGTTATACAACGACCGGGGGCTATTAATGATTGGGCTAATAGGTTTGGTTTGACTGTGAACCCAGTGAAGAGTCAAGCCATCATCATAGGCAGTCAACGTATGATTGGAAGGTTAGACCAAGGTAAACTGCCACCCATTAGCTTTAACGGCATAGTCATCCCTTAAAGTCCTGCCTATAGTCAAGCTTAGCTGGCAAACCCAGGTCACGAGCGTCAGCCAGAGAGTCACTTGTACGCTACGGGCCCTTTATCGACTCAAGAATTTCCCCCCCTCCGAGACAAAAGCGATGCTTGTACAGACCCTTATTGTCCCCATCCTGGATTATGGTGATGTATGCTATTATGACCTGAATGCAGACCTACTCAATAAATATGACCGCCTTCTGAATAACTGCATTCGATTCGTCTTCAACCTTCGCAAATATGACCATGTTTCCTCCTTTCGTCGCGAATTGAACTGGCTCACTATTCGCCAGCGCCGACACCTGCGCGCCCTCACCACTCTCTATTCCATTATCTACTCACCCATTTCCCCCTCCTACCTGACATCTTCATTCCAATTTCTGTGCTCCAACCACGATAGAACCCTCCGGTCAGCTAACAATCCTCTTCTGCTCTGCCCCACTCATACTTCCGGTTGTGTCCACTCCTCGTTACTAATCCAATCCGTACTCCTCTGAAATGCTCTCCCTCTCGAAGTCAGAATAGCACCCAGCCGCCTCTCATTCAAGATGAAAGCTAGAGCTTGCATCCTGGACACGGTAGCAGATTCATCACAACCTTGAAATTTTATATGTTATTGATTTTTAGGCTTCTGTATGTATGTTGCTATATAAGTATTTGTGTATGTGTATGTATTTGGTACGTATGAATGTATGTATATTTATCGCATTACTTCTACCTAACTTATCAATCATTTTCTTTTACTTCTCCTATTAATGTCTAGTGCATCTAGCCACACATTTCAGCACCACCCTAAGGTAGACTGGGAGAAAATGCCTATGGCATTAAGTCCGCCAATGTACAACTTGTGCATAAAGAATAAATAAAATAGAAGACGAATTCTGGAAAGAAAAAATGGAACCAAGGTTGGTTCAATTTTATTTGACCTGCTTACTGCCGTAATTGGTTGACTCGAGGCACACGCGTGGCATGCCATTCCGAAACATATTTTCAACCTCAGGAAAAGAAAATGAAACACCATCAGGCTCTTTAACATACGCTTCAATTCCGAGTGTATCTGACACTCATATAATACAGTACACTAATTTTTGAAATTATCTTTGAAATAGAAAGCGATATATTAATTATTATTTATATGAAATTGACAGAACCAATTTAAGTATGTTGGTAAATAAGGTCTCTTCAGACAGCACTGTAACGAAACGCACTATTGTAAGCTAATTATGCTGTGCTAATAGAAACTCACCGTTTGCCTTTGCGTTTGCGCTTTGATATGATTGATATAAAACTTAAGACAGTTTAGAATAAAACCTCCGCCTCAATCATCATATTTTATTAAAGTTATGTGAATTATTCAACTTATGTTGTGTGTATTATTAATTAAAGCCTGTACTATGGTACCCAATGTGCTGATAAAGTCATAAAATAAAATAAATTAGTAGAATAAGGTATTAAAAAAAAACCTCTATTGTTTGTGAGATTTTGAGTAAACAAATTATATATGTAGGAAGGAATGACCTAATATCCTATAACTAATAATAACCTATAAGCATAAATACCTTAGTTCGCCTGTTTAAACGGTCATTCAATTCCAACCTTTTTTTAATTTCGTGTATACCTATTTTAGGGGAAAGCTAACACACAGGTGAATAACAATAGTATAAAAGTATAAAAGCCAATTAGAATTATATACCTCAAACATGACATTCTTTTCTAAGTACTGCATTGCGAGTACGCTACATTGTGGCACAATATCTGGATGTATAGTGCCACCAACTTATCTGTTCAGTAGACGGCGTCGCTACTGGAGCGATAGGTGTTGCTATTTAAAAAAATTATCAGGAGTTTAGGGTATTTGAAACATACGAAATCACGTGAGCTGTAATTTTAAATATTGATCGGAGTTTATTAATTAATGTTTAAATATCATAACTAAATAATTTATAAATTAGTTGAAAATAAAGAAATATTTTGTTTTGCAAACATATAATACGATTTATTATGCCAAACTAGTTACATTATATTTTATAAAAATAATTGTGGTCGTGATCTCTAAGTTCCAGTGGCTGCACCCCAGGAATTCCAATAGAATATGATGAACTAGTGGTGGGGCAGTCTGGTGATACCCACGGCTCATCATCTGAATCACTTAAATCGCTTTCACTATCACTCTGTAATTGAATAATGAAAGGTTCATCTAAATGAGCATCCTTTTTTGTGTACTCACATGCATTTTTTTTCACGTGTTGGCAGTGGTTTTTCCACTCTGCTGAACTGATCTTGCAAAATGCATTTTCAATTAACTGGGGCATTTGAGCACTTAACTTCCCAACATTTTGCTCTGCAACATTTCTCTTCATTGAACTCCATATCATTTCTATGGGGTTCAAGTCGCAATGATATGGAGGCAACCTAAGGACAGAATGACCGTGGCTTTTTAATAAATTATCAATTTCATATTCTGGAGCAGGTTTGTTTCTTTTTATTAACTCCAGCAGCTGAGGCTTTGTCATTTGCTCTGAAAATTCAATATTTTTTTCAGATAGCCACTCTTGCATGACAGCCTTAGTGTGGTTAGAGTTAGGACACTTATTTATGCAAACGCTGTGATAGGGCGCATTGTCCATAACAATTAGTGAGGGTTTATGTAGGTTCGGTAGTAATTTTTCCAGAGTCCACTTTTTAAAATTATTGTTGTTCATTTCGTCGTGGTAATCACCACTTTTCGTGTTTGATTTAAATAAAAGCAGAGCATTCTCCACAAAACCTTCTTCTCCCCCGCAATGAACTATAATCCACCGGTGACCTTTAGAGACTGGTTCCAAATCACCTTCGACATCAGGGCCTTGCCAGCACATGCCAGTTGAGTGAGATGAGTGTATGTAGGTTTCATCTAAATAAGTAACTGGTCTATCCTCACCACACTCATTATTATGAATTTTTTGTAAATAAGTCGCACTCCATGCGACTATATCATTACGCTCACAAAGCTCTTTTCTATTTGATTTGGTTTTTTTAAAGCGGAATCCTATTTTGTGGAGCAACTTTCTGAGTGATTCACGTTTCCCCTGGAAATTGATATCTTCTCTTAAAATGTTCAATAGCTTGGTTACAGAAGGAATTTCTTTTTTTACTGAATAAAATTCATGGATTTTTCTCCTAATCACACCAATATCAAAGTCATCAACTTCTAGTTTCCCTGTTTTCTTTTCCCTCTTTTTACCAGGTGTACATATTTTAGTATTAGTTTCTTCAGCTCGTTTTTCTTCATTCATTAATTTATAAACAAATCGCTCACTAACACCTGTAACAAAAAGTGGCTCATCAAACTTAAGAAATAATGTTTTTTTTTTTATTTATTCGGGTGGAATAAACAGTGAACACAATGTAGGTATACGTTTAACGTTTATGAAAATAAAGAATAGTAAAATGGTGCACTAGTTAGTAGTAGTGGGGGCGACGTATCAGTTTTATTTCTAATTTTCAGTGGATATATATAGACAATAAAATATGAAACATAAGCTGAATATTAAAATAACTTAAGTGGGAAATTTTACTGTCCTTAGACTATAACACTAACCTGTAGCGGCAGCACCACGTTGTGGCACTTTTTCTAATGGTATTTTTGGAGATTGGAGGCGTTTTTCTTCGTTCATAAAAGATAAATCTTTTAAAATAATAACTCTAGCATCACTTTTAAGAGCTTTCGGCATTTTAATCGTAGTTTTAATAATAAAATTAAATGATAAACACAGAGAGCACCCACACCTTGTAAACTGACACGCAGATTGACGCAGATTTAGTTCCGATTTTGTCTACTGAACAGATAAGTTGGTGGCACTGTAACTATGAGTCGCGCGGGGGGGGGGGGGGGTCAGGTAATGTTTGCGCACACCTTCACACCGCTTCACCACCACCATAAAGTGGTAAATTTCATGTTTTCCATTGTGCGGTAATAAGCGACTCCAAAGAAAAAAAAATGGGGAAAAAGCAAATGAATGACTGTTTTAAGAACTGAAATGTAAACTTAAATGTACCAGCTAAATGAATTTATAAATTTGAATTTGGAATTCTTAACCAAAGAGGAGATATTTCAGATCAAAGTGGTCAGTACGACATAACGCTAATTTCATATGTAAGGACCTAATATTAACAATAAAAAAAAACGGATATATCTTAGATGTCTAAGATGTATCATTAAAATTATAATTAAAAAATACAACTTTAGATACTTTGCTGGCTTTGAGATTTTCCCTTTTTTCATATATAATTTGCCCAGCATGTGAAAATATTCTTTCACAAGGTACTGATGTAGCCATTACACTTAATCTTGTTTTCTCAAATTGATATAATCGAGGATAGATATGTTTCCTTTGGAACCACCATAATAAAGGATCAGTGTTTACTCCATTAGCATCTTTCCTGAGTAATAAAGGTTCTTGTAAGTACTTATCAACTTCAATAACAGCAGATGTAGTCGCAGATTTGATATATTTCTGAACTTCGATGTCAAAATTTTTGAAAAGGATATCATCGATTTTATCAACTTTATCTGAACTTGAAGGCATGTTTTGGTTTGGTACTAAGTCATTATTAGGGGGTGTATTTTCACATGTCTCTATTGGTCTCATATGTAACACTTTGTTATATAATTTTTCTACCATTCTTTTGTATCTTGTTTCATCAATGAAACTGAGTTTTTTATATCTGGTATCCAAAATTGTACTCAGTCCCACCAAAACATTCTGTTCGATATGATCTCCTCTATCGCTAAAGAATCGTACATTGATTTCTCGCAATAGTCAACTGACCATGTTGGTAATTTCTGGCCTCATCTCGGATTTTTTTCGTTTCAAATGTATGTAAAGGAATTATTACTTTTTTTAAATAATGAATTATTGACGAAATTGTAACTTCACCCTGTGAACTGATAACTGTGGTTAGTGTATCAAATACCTCCAAAACTTAAACAGCTTGAGAGGCTTATGTCCAGCAGTGGACTATTAAAGGCCGTTGATGTGATGAAGCACATTAACATTTTGTATTTCTTCATTTCGTACTAAAAGAGATGTTTTTAAGACTATGTAGATGGTAGCGACTATTGCATTTTTTACAGCCAAGATCCTTTTAATCATAAAAAACGTAGAACTCCACATAGTTTTTCAGTTTCAGACTCGACAGATTCATGTTTTCCTGTGTGGCTTTTAAATGGGCGGTTGCGTGAGAGCTTCTTTTAAAATAACTCACAATAGTCTTGGTTTTTTCAACTACTGCTTCAATCTCTTTAATTCCCGCTTGTTTGATAAAATTAAGGGAGTGAGCGAAACAACCCTAATGGCGCCATTTACCTAAACGCACTGCAGCCTTCATTTTAGTTGCATTGTCACTTACAATAACGATCACTTCATTAACAATTTGCCATTCAACCATAATATCTCTCATTTTGTTAGCTATGTTTTCAGCAGTGTGACGCTCTGTGAATGAAACACACCTCAATAGATCGCTATCTAAAGTCATTCCATCTTTATTTTCAACAATATAATGTGCAGTTACATAATAAAATCTTTCTCCTGTCCTTGATGTCCACCCATCAACGGTGTGACACACACAATTTGTATGCTGGATTGAGAAGATTAAATAATCTAACAAACTCTTTGTCTTCTACAATACTGAAGGTTTGATACTCTTTGGTGATCATTCTCACTAGCTTGCTACATTATACTAATCTGTGATTCTCACTAACTGCCTATCTATTTCTTTCTGTTTTTTAACATTCAGCGTTTTTTTCGTGAAAAAATCGGTAATATTTCGTGAGTGGGGCGGGAGGTCTTTAGGTCTCTCCAGCGGAGCCTTATTGATTATCGGTACATCGAGGTATTGAAGTGTTTGTTTAATAACGCAATAATAACGTAATAATAATATACAGGACCAGTACACGAAGGCAATTCCATTACAGAGAGGGGTAAGACAGGGAGACGTAATTTCTCCGAAACTGTTTACCGCTGCTCTGGAAGATGCCTTCTAGCTCCTGGAATGGAAAGAACTTGGCATCAACATCAATGGCGAATACATCACTCACCTTCGATTTGCCGACGACATCGTAGTCATGGCAGAATCGCTGGAAGACCTGGGACAAATGCCCGCTGACCTTGACGGAGTTTCTCAAGAGATCGGCCTTAAAATGAACATGGACAAGACGAAAATCATGTCGAATGTCCATGTCGCGCCGACTCCCATAGTCGTGGGAAACTCTGTCCTCGAAGTTGTTGACGAATATGTCTACCTAGGACAAACTGTAGGATGGTCAGGGATTTTTATTTAAACACAACTATTTGTTTTTAAGGTATTATATAAAGAGATGATATTGGATTTCAAGTAATGCACCGCAAACACACATTTACTATATTCGCCATCATCATGCTTAGTTGAAAAAAAAAAGTGATGTGCAGATTCAATAGTGTCGTACAGAATGTTGCCACAGATACAAATTGTTAACACCTTCTCCTATTTTTTAAAATTTAATTACTTAACAATTTTGAAAAATATTAATACATATAGCGTTTTATGGCAAGATTCTGCACTACATTTTACATTACAAATATTCTGCAATTACTATTATATTTTACTTTTATTACTAACTAAAGTACATAATTATGCATGTAATACTATATATTTTCTCAAATATTATACCAGATTATTACTTAAGTAATAATCATACATATAAGTAAACAAAAACTTTTAACCTTTTAATTACTTATACATAACACTCATAAATTCAAGCATCTTTATGTTAATTTATTACACTTCCTAATATGTATGTAAGCGGTTCGCTTAAAATTAATCCTAAGTTTTACAATACAAATGTTTTATTTATTTATTTAGTTAGCTTATACTTTAAACTATGTATTAAGTTTAATATAACATGTTATTAAAATTTATTTACTGTATTAACCTGTTACAGTGAGCTTCAAATTTATTTTTTCCAAGCGGTTTGGTAAAAATATCAGCTACTTGCTCATCTGTGGGACAATAGTTAACAACAATATTTCCTTTTATAAAATTTTCATGAATAAAGTAATATCTAACATCTATGTGTTTTGATCTTTTATTGAATGATCCTGTCTTAATTAATTGTATAGAGCTCTGGTTGTCTATATTCAGAGTTATGTTAATTTTACAATTAAGTATATCACAAAGTAATGATTTTAGATAAAATGTTTCTTTACAGCAATCAGCTGCAGCAATATATTCAGCTTCTGTCGATGATAGAGTGACTATTGGTTGTCGTTTGGAACACCATGATATAGGTCCATTGCATAACATTATAACAAAACCTGTGGTACTACGTGTAGTAGTTACATCATTTGCGTAATCTGAATCAGAATAAGCATTTAACGTATTAATATTTTCTCCTTTTAAGTATTTTATGCCTTTATCTCTAGTTCCTGCTAAATATCTTAAAATTTTCTTTACTGCCATGACATCGGTCTGATTAGGGTTTTCTATTTTTCTACTGGCTTTATTTACTGCTTCTGCTATATCTGGTCTGGTTCTTGTTGATAAATATAACAATCCACCAACACATTCCCTATATGGAAAATTAATCTGCTGTAATGTCATGTTTGTCTGTGTGTCAGTATCTTTATTAATATTACAAGGTATACTAGTAGGTTTAGCATCTATCATGTTAAAGTTTTTAAGTAAATTTTGAATATATGTTTCTTGTTTTAATGAAATACCTGTGTCATCTTTACAAATTTCTAGCCCAACAAATTTTTTAGGATTTTTGAATATTTTAATTTGAAATTTCAATTCTAGACAATTCAGAATGTTCTCTAATTCTTTTTTATTAGTTGAAATAGCCAATCCATCGTCCACGTATATAGCAATTATTACATTTTTACTTTTATTAGCGAACACACATCTATCAGTTTTAGTAGGAATCAATCCTAGTTTTAACATTGTCTTGGTAAAAGTCTTATTCCATGTAATTGGTGCTTGTTTAAGCACATACAAAGCTTTATTCAATTTACATATTTTGTTAGGTTCTTTATCATTACCATCTGGTATATACATATAGATATCATCATCTAATTCGCCATATAAAAATGCAGTTTTAATATCAAAAGTAACAATTTCAGAATTTTTAGATGCTGCAATAGCAAATAGAGATTTAAGAGTTGACTGACTTACCACTGGGCTGTATATTTCATCAAAGTCTATACCTCTTTGCTCAAATCCTCTTACCACCAGTCTTGCTTTGTAGGTACCATCGTCTTTCACTCGAAATATCCATTTATTGGTGAGTATCTTCTTACTGCCTGCCTCTGATATGTCTATTAGACTCCATGTTTTATTTTTCTTTAATGATTCCTTCTCTGAATCTATTGCCTTCTCCCAATTTTCTTTTTCTATTCCTGTGGTAGCCTCTTTGTAGGTAAGTAGTACATAATCCTTAAGCTTCTCTGGTATTTTTCGTGTTCTTTGACTTCTTCTTGTACCTAGTTCTGTGTTAGGTATGGCTATGTTTTGCTTTTCTATCTGTTGTACTGGTCTTCTTAAGTTCAAGTTTTCTTCTTCTGTACTTATTGCTTCTTATGTATTTATTATATCTTCTTCTGTATTTATTATGTCTTCTTCTTTATTTATTATATCTTCTTCTGTACTTATTATATCTTCTTCTGTATTTATTATATCTTCTTCTGTATTTGTTATATTTTGTATTATCTTATTTATTTCATTTGATTTTATTTTATCTTCTTTATTCTCATTGAATATTATTATGTCTCTGTGTATTTCTACTCTTCTCTTTTCATTGTTCCATAGCCGGTATCCATTGTTTGCATATCCAATCATTGTTAGTCTTTTACTTCTTGGATCTAACTTTCTTACTGATCCTAATTGTTTAGCATACACCGTACACCCAAATACTTGTATATTTGAAATATCTGGTTTTATCTTATACCACATCTCGTATGGAGTTTTGTTATCAAGTGTTTTACTGGGCAGCCTATTGAGTAGGTAGGTAGCACAGTAAACAGCTTCTCCCCACATCTCATCTTTCATGTTTGAGTCAAATAGTAATGCTCTGACTTTCTCAAGTATAGTGCGGTTTTACCGTTCCGCCTTTCCGTTCAACTGTGGTGTGTATGGTATGGTATAGTCTGGTTTTATCCCTTTCTTTGAACACCATATTTTCAGTTCGTTGCTTCTATATTCTCCTCCATTGTCGCATCTTATGCACGAAACTTTTTCATTCTTTTCTCTCTCTTTTTCTTCTATATACTCTTTTATTAGAGTAAAAGCTTCATTTTTATGTTTCATTAAATATGTTTTTGTGATATGGCTGTAATCGTCTAAGATTGTTATGAAATATCGATTTCCATCATGAGTTAGCTTATCAAATGGACCACATATGTCAGTATGAATGATTTGCAATGGGCGTTCTGCTCTTTTTCTTTCTGAAGTAAAAGGTAATCTTGTTTGTTTCGCTTTAAGGGGGGGGGGGGGGAGGTATTTAATTTTTTATTTTTTATTTTTATTTTTGAAATTGAATCCGTAATATCTG